TTCTTGTTATCAGCCCTTTATCGGATGTGTAGAAAGTAAATATTTTCTCCTATTGTGTAGGTTGTCTATTTGCTCTAAGGACAGTTTCTTGGCTGTACAGAAGCTTTTTAATTTGATCAGGTCCCACTTATTTATTTTTGTTGCTGCTGTGATTGCTTTGGGGGGTATTTTTCATAATTTCTTTACCTAGGCCAATATCTAAAAGAGTCTTCCCCATATTTTCTTCCAGAATTCTTAAGATTTCACATCTTAGGTTTAAGTCTGTTATCCAACATGAGTTGATTTTTGTGAGAGGTGAGAGGTGGGGATCCAGTTTCAATCTCTGCATGTGTATATCCAGTTTTCCCAGCACAACTTATTGAACAGAGATTCTTTTCCCCAATGTATACTTTTGTCTGCTTTGTCAAAGATTAGATGGCAATATGAGGATGGTTTTATATCTGGGATCTCCATCTTATTCCAAAGGTCTATATCTCTGTTCTTGTGCCAGTACCATGCTGTTTTGGTTACTATAGCCTGCAATAAAGATTGAAGTCTGGCAGACTGATGTCTCCCAATTTGTTCTTTTTGCTTAAGATTGCTTTGGCTATACGAGGTCTTCTCTGGTTCCCGATGAAGTATAGAATTTTTTTTCTAAATCTGTAAAGAATGATGGTGGAATTTTGATAGGGATTGCATTAATTCTGTATATCTCTTCAGGTAGAATGGACATTTTAATGATATTGATTCTAGCAATCCACGAGCATGGCAGGGATTTCCATCTGTGCATATCATCTACAATTTCTTTTATCAGTGTTTTGTAGTTCTCCCTATAAATATCTCTCACCTCCTTTGTTAAATATATTCCTAAATATTTAATTTTCTTTGATACTATTGTGAAATATGTTGCATCTTTGATTTTCAGCTTGATTATTATTGGCACATATGAATGCCACTGATTTGTGTTCATTAATTTTGTATCCCAAGACTTTACTGAATTCGTTTATCAATTCTAGGAGTCTCTTGGCTGAATCCTTGGGATTTTCTAGGTATAATAGCATATCATCAGCAAAGAGTTTGACCTTTTCTGCCCCCATTTCAGACACCGTTAATTCCCTTCTCTTGTCAAATTGCTCTGGCAAGGACTTCTGGCACTGTGTTGAATAGAAGTGGAAATAGTCGGCAACCTTGTCTGGTTCCAGTTCTAAGTGGGAATGCTTTCAATTTTTCCCCATTCAACATGATATTGGCTGTGGGTTTTCCATATGTGGCCTTAATAATTTTAAGGAATGTCCCATCTATGCCTATTTTGTTAAGGGTTTTTATCATAAAAGTGTGCTGAATTTTATCAAATGCTTTTTCTGCGTCTATTGAGAGAATCATATGGTCTTTGTTCTTGCCTTTATTTATGTGGTGAATTACATTTATAGATTTGTGTATGTTGAATCAACCTTGCATCTCAGGGATAAAGCCCACCTGGTCGTGGTGAATTATTTTTTTGATGTGCTGTTGGATTCGGCTTGCTAAAATTTTGTTGAGAATTAGTGTATAATTTCTAATTTTTGAAGACAGCTATTGTTTAGGGAATAAGTATGGCACTCAAAGTAAAAAAGGAGACTAATTTTGTTAAGTGCCTACTCTGTGCCAAACATAGTTAAAGACATTTTATATTATTTTAGTTTTTTCCCCAAAACTACCTTGCAAGACAAAGTCATTGAGTTGTCACATTTTTCAGGAGAAAAAGCCAACTCAGAGAGACTATGAAATTTGCCCACACATAATAAGTAGTCCATCTGGGCCACAACCCAACTCTGTCTGATCTCAGTGTCTATACCCTTTCCACAGCGTCCTACCACTCTCCATGTCAGCAGGGCCTGACTTTTAGCATGGTTAGAAATACATTAGCCCAGTTGTCCTTGTAGCCCAAAGACACCTATTTGTGTCTTTGTTTTCTTTGTTTCCATATCTTTAAAATGGAGAAAATACTATCTACCACTCAGGGATTAAATAGACTACTTAGGTCACAACACTTAACATAGTGCCTGGCACATCATGAACATTCATCAATGATTGCTTTACTTTAAGTAAATTCTCTGAGATAGGAACCAAAAGGGAACTTTCCATAATTTGACACCACCAAGCTGATTTTTTTTTCCCATTTCTAAGATAGTCAATAGCATAACGATTTCACTAATAAATCTGAAGGCATAGGCTTAATTAAATATACATATTTTTTAATTCTAACTCTTTGAAGACTGGTAACCAATATATAGATAAAGGACAGCTATTCAGTTAAGCCTGTATTTCTGGATTGTGCTGTGAACATAGGCTATCATAAGGGATTATCCAGTTGGCAAAGCAAGTGTGTACATGAAAAAAACAGAAAAACGAAAAAAATTTCAGCTATAATGAGTGTATGAAGAATTTTATAATAAGAACCTCTGGAAAGGAGCTGTTAAAATTCAAGCATTCATTTAAATTTTGGTTTTGGTTTCTGTGTTTTGCTTTGTTTTTTAATTTCAATATGGCAGGAGGCTTGGAACAAAGATATCCGAAACTTTCTGGTGCTTAAGACAGCATATGAACATAGTTCTGGAATACTATTCAAATATATAAAAATACTTAAAAGGACAAAACACTTTTAAAAATATAGTATCTAATACTCTTTTTCAGAATACAATGCTTTGGTCAACTTACCTTTTCAGAAAAGTACTTTTCCTCCTGGTTATCCTACCATAGCAATCTGAACAATAATGCCTGAGATAACAGATGTTGTTTATCCCATAAATATGCCACTTTTGATAAGCTTATGTAAGTAATTAGCAACTACTTGGAATATTTTATTCACATGAAAGTGGTCCTAGCTTATTTGACCTTTTATAAGATATGACATATTTGACTTCAGTGCAAGATATTTTCCCAAATGTTAAGAAAATAAAAGTGTATCATCATACAAGGCTTTGGGAAGAACATTTTATTGCTAAGCATATCCTTGAACAAAAATGCAAATATGAAATAAAAGAGAAAAGGAAAAAGAAAAAGCAATAATGCCACAACGTCATAAAATAAATTCCTTTAGGGTCTGCTAATAAAACAACAGGAATATGATAGGAGCTCACATACAGAATGCACATGTTTCCATAAAATTGTTCAAATAGAAACTTACACTAAAAGGAATATAACAAATGTATTTTTACTCAAATTAAAAAATGTAAAGAAAGCAGGAAATCAGTTCACAAGACCTTAAGACTCCAACAATAGCAATCTTTTACAGACATCGAGATATAATCAACTTCATACAGGCTGGGCCATGTAGGTTTTTTAAAATCGTTCTTTGATATCTCTTTATAATCCTGTCTTTTTTAATGACAACAAAAAAATCAAAAAATCTTAACACATTGGAATATTAGATAATGAGGAACACCTCTTTCCATACACATTAGTAAAGGCTATCATTTAGATTGCACTTTTTGCCCCTTATCTTCAAGATATTTTTTCAAAGTCAAATATTCATGCAACTTACAAAGACCAGCAAGAATAGATTTCTAAATCTAAACAGCTGTTTGATTTTCATCTGTACAGAAGAAATTGTATATATCTGACTCTCCAGAGGACACACTTCATTTTTTGTGTGAATATTTGTCTTGCTTTGTCTCTTGCTTTTTGGATAGCTATGGCCACACAACCAGAGTGTATTGTTTTTTCTGTACATTGTTTCCTCTTTACAAAAAGAAAAAAAAAGACAACTGGAATATAAACCAAACCAACTGAAATAAACAAATAGAAAGGAAAAAACAGTTCTTAAAGCAGTATGTACATAGGTGGCTAAGGAATTATACCAGCAAAAATGTAGTAAAATATGTAAACAAAATCTGAGAAGATTTTTTTTTAATTCTCTTTGACACAGTTAACTGTGACAAAACTAAAACTCACACTTTCTTCACATTTTAAGGTTTACTCTTTTGTCATGTTATTATTTTCTTTTAAAACAACATTCTCATTCCATTTCAAGACTTTAACAGATTTCCTGTGTCAGTCATCCCATCAAACATACCATGATAAATATATCTGTATATATATTTATTTATATATATTATACTATTAAATTCCTTTTTTGTGTGTCACAGCAGCTTTATTCATTTATTTATTTGTTTGTTTTTAAAAAAGATGGGTGAAAGGAGAAGTGAGCAAATGGAAGGATAGAGTTGTCCACATGTGTCAGGCTACAAAATTAAACCACAATGAAAACCATTATGTTGGGGGCGGGGAAAGAACTATGTATTTTGCACTCTGTCATGACATGTTTGGCTCATGTGACCTTTTGTGGTTCCATCACAAATTGAACTCCCCTATTGTCCGTTTTGATTATTCAGCAAACTTTAGTATTGTCTTTTCTTTTTTATTTGCATGCATTTCAATCAGTTACAGATCCAGCCCACCCCCCTTTCTCCTTTGCTGGGAAAGGCTCTGTTTTAGTTAGTGGGGCTTTTGCCTTTAACACAATTTTGCTGGGTTAATGGACAGGAACAATATTGTTAAGTAAAGCCAATAGCTCTGATAAAACCAGACCTAAACCCATCTGTTTAGGGTTTGGGGTGGCAAATTCTAGAATTAGATCCTGGGGGACCAGCTTTTCAAATCAATATTATCATTCATCGCATGAATTTTGCTATGTGTTCAGCAAAGCATCTTATAGGAAACAAACAACAGATTCTAGAGACACCACAACCTGATATGTAGAGTGAACACCATGGTAGCTTTTGAGTTCATATGGCAATAGTCTCTCTCACTTTTGTTTTCTGAGTTTTTTTCCTCTTCTTATGTCCAGTCACTCTCAAAAAAATAAACAAAAACCCAAAAGCCAATTTTCCCCTCAGATCTTGGAAAAGTTACACATACACTGGCCAAAACCAGATAAGGGTTGTGTTTTTTTTTTGTTTTGTTTTGTTTTTGTTTTTTTTTTTTGAACGTTTTTTTTTTTTTTTTTTTTTTTTTTTTGTTTGTTTTGGTTTTTTACATAATGAAACCGAAAAAAAAACATTGTTACAGTCAAGCTTCACAAACATCATTACAGACTCACTTGGAGTTATGGAACAAGTAAGCCATGAAGTCTTCTACCTTTTGTCAAAGGTCCTCAAGAGAAGGAAGCTTCCTAGTCCGCGAAAGTGGTGGAGCCATTGGCTTGCTCCAGGGCGCCAAGTGTGTGCTTTATGATACAGCAGGGCAGAAAGAGCTCTCTGTCTCCGAGCGGTGACTGAAACGCAGCAGCCACGGCTGAACGTTGTGGAGAGATACGTTGTTGTGAGTGTCCTTTGAAAAATGGTATTCCCCACCAGAGTCATGGTATACCCCATCTCACAGTTAGCGCAGTTCTGACACCTGTTACATCTCGTGGTCACAGTATGTGTATACGTATATATAAATAATTCTGTTTCAAATTCAGGAGTTGTCAGGGTTGTCATGTTTACACGTAATACTCCTTGTCCTTGTTCTTCTGCTTCTTGTGGCCGCTCTTCGAGCTCTGCTGCTTCTCCTTCATGAGCGTGCCGTTGCTCTGGGCCGAGTTGCTGATGTAGTTCCGCGTCTCGTCCACTTGATAGGACCCCTCGTCCCTGTTCCTGTACTTGTACATGGCGTACAGGAGGATCAAGATGCAGAGGGCGGCAGCAGCCACAATGCCGACGACCATCCCTGTTGTACTGCTCGACTCCCGGATCACCTCTGAGGCCCCCGGAACCCGTCTGATTCCCGGCTCCGTGGGGTTTGCTGTGGGCACATTACGGAACATGGGGGAAGTAATTAGTGGGCTCTTCAGTTTGGTGCTGTCTAGCTCATAGGCAGTGGGCAACGGAAGCAAGACTATATCAGGCTGGGGTTTGAGATCACGGTTATTCATTTTGCCAGCTGGCAATTTGGGCACCATCCCAGACGAGGAGGAAGCTGTGAAGCGGATCAGCTCAGGGGACAAAGATGTGGTAGTAGTCCTACTAGTTTCCGAGACTTTGTTAGGTCTAAAGTCCTTGGATTCCCACTTGGGCGCATGTGCTTTGTAGCCACCTTCGAAGATTGAAGTGGAAAGACTCTTATCTGTTACCAAGGAGAAGGTGGTGTAAAAATCTTCATCATCGGTAGGGGGCAGGTTAGAGTCAAAGGTTTCCCCTGAGCCATACCCAGATATCACCAAGCCATCATCATCACAACCTTCGCTGCCTTGGTCCGACAAGCAAGGTAACCCCGCCTCAGAGGTCATGGACAGGGAATCTTTGGTGGTCTCAATAATGGTGAGGAGGGGGCGAAAGGTAGGGGGGAGAGTAATGGAAGGTGCACGAGTAGCAATAGCAGGGGTAGCTAAAGGGTCTTCTACAAGAAGAGGGATAACTAATTCACCTCCTGGGATTGAAAAGAAAAAGAAAAACAATTAGTATATTTGTAAACACAATTCACAGTCACTCTCAATGAATGTAGTTCATAGGTTATGCCTCAGAAATTATAATAAAACGACCTGGATCCACATATGGATCTTTTCTGGTTGTAGCCTAATCATTCTAGGCTGATTTAGAGCCCATTATATGCCTCTTGCCACCCAAACCTGAAATCCCCAGATCAGGGGCTTAAATCTTAAAGATACTCTCAAGTAATTATTTAGATAGAATTCAAATACGTATGCTGTTTCCAGGATCTGCTGGTGGGATGGTGACATTCAATCAATTATATTGTTATAAATACTGACTGGCTATCAAAATTTTGTGTGTGGGTACATGTACACATGGCTTGTGTAATTTATGAATGTATTAATGGGAGTGTAATGTTTCTTTATTGCCTCCCTGGGTTTCTACTTATCTGCTCCCGTGAGGATGAGAATGACCTGTTTTGCATGTTATTGAGACCAAGATCAAGGAACACAGAAAAGGAACATAAGGAACTTTTATCTTTAGTGTTTTCTTAAAGTTACTACCTTTTTAAAAAATTTTTTTATGCTTATTAATTGCAGTTCTCATTTACTATAAGCTAAGTGACAAGGACTTAAATGCTCATCTAACAAACCCATTTTGATTATAGTTTTCCTGAAATTCCCCTATTAAAAGACAACTTGCCTTGCATTAGTCTAATATATATTTATGAATTGCTTTTATGCTAAATGCAATATATGAGCTGGAAGCTAGATTTTAAAAATACCCAGCCTACATATCTATGATTTGCTGGAAACCAAATTTTAGATTCAGAAATGTTGACTTAGCAAAGTGAGTTTTTAAAATCAGTGATTCTTAACTAGAATGGCAAAAATATATATAGTTTACCCACAGTCCTTCATTATTGCATTTATAAACATGTGGACTGCATCAGGAAAGAAAGTTCAGAATAGTTCATTAAATCATAGTGCCTTGCAAATCATGGGTACCACAAATATTCTGTGGTAGATATTGCTTACCTAACTGTAAGGCCAATATTATTTTTCATCTATGTCAGCAAGATAATCAATCACTCTTCCTGTCTTTTTATAATGTTATTTTCCAAGCAGAGGAAGAATCTCAAAAAGTCACAGTGCATGTCTCTTTATTAAATTTATTCCAGAAAAATTTATTCTAACTATCACTTTATTTTTTTCTTTTTATTTCAGGATATTATGGGGTACAAACATTTTGGTTACATGTTATAACTTTGCCTCACCCAAGCCAGGATTAGAGGTGTGCCCTTCCCCCATACAATGCTCACCCCATCCATTAGTTGTGACTTTACCCCCCCCACCCCCCCAACCCCAG